AAGTGACAAATGCAATTACTACTAACCGTACTTTTTAGATCATAAATCCGTCGAAATAATGTACAGTACATAATATGTAAGTTACCTCAAATTAATGCTGTTTTTTCTCATTAATTTGAGGTAATATATAGTAGATAAATATTGAGAATGAATTTTCAAATTAATATTTATTATTAACCGCTAAGAATTGCAATGTGTTTCAAAAAAGGGTTCGTTTCAAGTAAGAGTACTATGTTAATTTGGTACATAATACGGTAGCCACTTGAGTCTAAAATTAGAAGCAAATACAACCGCCGCATTTTCTTTTAATGGGGAAACCTCCAAACGGAGGAAAATTGGCTCATTTTAGTTGTAGACCGGTAGACGCTGCTTATTTTTATTGCCCCAGTACGAGCACATCTTTGAAGCAAAACAACAAAAAAAATAAACAACCAAAAAGAGAGCAAGAACGCTTTCGCCAGACGTCTGCCGCAGACAGCAGGCCGCGCTCTGATTTGAAGAGGAAAAATTGAACATGCAAGGCTGACGTCAGATATTAGACATTTTTTTTGCTTTCGTTAACAGTAACTGTCGAAATTGGTTTTCGAAAATTGAAAGTTCAAAACCACACAATAACAATCCGGGAAAATACCTAATTCAAAATGGAAAACTCGGCACATATGTAAAACATATATAGAAAAGCGTGCATCAAGAGGGTTCAATTTTTGTACATTTTTTTATCTGACTTTAATTTGAAGACCGAGTTCTCCTTAGGCAAGACATTTGTCTCGGTAAATTTATTTTTTATGAAACTCTGCGCAATTTCGGCGAGGCACAAAGGTCATAATGATCAAGAATGACCAGCAAGCAGATCGGGGAAATTTTATGAGGTCGTTAAGACGTTAGGCGACTCGCTCTGGTGATTATATTGGTAGCGCACAAAACAAAGAACGATAACTTAGTTCCGCACTAAGCTCTATCTCATTTTGGTCCGACCATCTTCTTCTCCTTTCGGGGAGTACGAAACTATCATCCCTCGTATGTTCATATAGTTTATGTTTCACCTGCGAGCCACCCCGGTCACATCAATACCATCCCCTATTCGAAATTTATAACTCGAAATGCGGGTATTTACGATCCCACGGATTATTACCTCATCACGAATCGAAACGTTGTTAGAACTTATCAGGGACAAGCGTCTAGATATCGTAAAATTAATCTTTTAACAGCACTGTGGCTTATCAACGAAAAACCACGGCGCTTTCGCCAATAATAAATAATAGTAATATTGCGTGTAGGAATATTATTAATGCAAAAAGATCGGAATTAAAATATCTGAAATACCTTATAACTTGAACAATAAAAATATAACAGTCTGTAGTTTGAAGAAAAATAAAAGAGGGTAATTTTATTTAAGTCCTGAAAAATAGTTTGGTAGAAATGTAAAAGCTTTTTATAAACGAAATCATATTGATAGTGAAACGTCTGCATGTATTGGGGCAATCGCAATCAATATACCACTGCTCTGATTGGTAGACAGGCTTTTATAACAAACAACGAGACGACGACAGGTATTTTTGCAGTGAAAAACGGGAATAAATTAGTTCTTTGTGCTGTTTGACGTCTCATTTTACAAATTGAAAATGCAGACTATATTGATTTTCGTCTTAGTCTCTATTTACCCCGAGTAATGGAACATTGACGACCGACGCTCAAAATAGACGAGACCGTCAAGTTTTCCGCAAGTTCTTCGCTTTTTGTTTATTTCACGTTTGTTAGTTTTTTGTTTCGTATTTTCCACGAAACAGCATCCCATCGGAAATAAGTATTGAGTACGTACGGCATTCTTATTTATTTTGTTCCTGTGAAGAAGATATAAAATCTATGAGACGTATCCCTAGACAAAAATTTTTAGTCTCTCAGAGTCTTTCAGCGTCTCTGAGAGCGTCTCTCACAGTCTTTCACAGTCTCTCAGTTATTATTTAGGTGTTTTTATGGATCTCTCACAGTCTTTGAATGAGAGACTCGAACGATAAAATTGTTAATTCAGAGATTCGAGTCTCTCACAGAGAAACCGAATGAATAAAACTGAAAAGTTGAGAGACTCGAGTCTCTCGTAGAAAGACTGGGATCTCTGAAATATGTTGAACTTGGAAAATTTTAACTATGTCTATCGAGACACCACTTAATGAGAGATTCGAGTCTCTCGTTCAGAGACTGGATACGAAATGAGGATCTCTCTATGAGCGACTCGAGTCTCTCGTTCAGAAACGCTAAACAATTTTTTTGACAGTCTCTCTCAGCTCCACCAGAGAGACTCGATGAGAGACGGAGACTCGAGTCTCGCTTTCAGAGACTCTGGAAGACCGAACATTTTTATCTCGGGATCCTACAGGATGTTATTTTACAGCCATCCATTATTTTCGATAAATTACTGACGACTGACCAGCAACAACTTCATCCTAGTTAATTGTAATTATCATTTTCATTAATTACTAATTATTTTTTACGTTCATTACTAATTTCTGGCGAATGATTCCTCTTAACTGCAAAGGCATTTTTGAAAATTTAACACACTGTTTGCTCGCAATTAGACCGATTCAATTTTGCGTGCAGAGCTAAGAGAGAAAAACAGAGAGAGAGAGAGAGATAGGACGAAAGATGAAGAAGAAAAAACGGTAGCAAAAAGTCCAAGCAGCAAGCGCAAGTTTGCTTAATTAAATTTTTCAATTAAGGTGGATCAGAAGTACTCTACAGAGTTGCTCTAAGTGCGCTTGACGTTAAACAACCCGTGGAAAATACACATTCCGAAAGCCCTAACGACTCCTTACAAGTGCATATATATATATACTACAGACGACGATAATTAAACAGAAAACGCCCGAAGATGATGCAATAAAAAAACGGCGGATTTGGAACCAATGGCCCGCGATATGATATGCAATGATTTAGGCGAAGAAATTTGTTTAACTAAAGTTTATTTACTACATACGTAATGGTTAATGATTTTAAAAAGAGGTGAAAGGAAAACCTCAAGCAGAGAAACAATCGAAAACGTAAAATTAAACAGAAGACATTCAAACAAAAGCTTATTTTTGTATCAAACCTTAATGGATTGGCAATTTTTTTTTGTTTTATTAGGTTGTACCTGTGTATTTGCTCGCGTTGATGTCTCAAATTTGTTATTAGAATTTAAGGGTAGCCAGTATTGCTTCGTCCTTTGTTTCTTAGTTTTAGGATAGCAATTGTTTGATGTGATACGATTCATTCGTTTTTATTTTAACGATATCGACAAAAAATAAGTAGGTGGTACTTCCAGATCCGGTATGTAACAGCCTTGAAGGATTTTTAGCGTTCCGACGGAATGATTAGCGACCCTGATACCTATATCCTATTATGTTTTTCTTAAAAATATACGTATTGACTACGCCACACAGTCACTTATTTCCCTTTCATTAGGCTTAAACTGTTTCTTGTACTAATCACAAACATAAATTAATAAGTAAAATGTTTAGTTCCTGAATAAAGGCTGAATACTTTTAATATAGATATGTATTCTTTAAACGTATTATAGTAGCACAATTACGAAAAAAAATTGTACCTAAATAGTTTGTTTGTCTAATCCAAAATCCAATTATAATATCTTTTATAATACACCATTGAAACATGCAATTGGGAAGCAATTTAACAACATTAATAACATTAGATGATAATATCGGCGTAGTCAGTAATATTTAATAGATACCTAAGAAACTTTTGTGTTTACCAGATGTTGCATGATTTGTATTTAACGTAGAAAAGATTGATGTTCACAAATTTTCGATTAACTAAATTGAAGCTGTTTCCGTACCTGTAGTAGAGGAAGTTTTTGCTGTTTATTATTATCATCAAAAACTCTGGTTATCGATCACACAGTGAGTGAATTTTGATTATCTATGTTTTGGAGTGCAAAAGAATTTTTTTATGAACGAAACTGTATAAGTGATTACAAGATATGTATTTAGGTTTGTACTTAAATATTTTAGCAACAGGCAAATTAGTATCTTTCAGAAACAAATTGTCTAGGTACTAATTATAGTTTTAAATTGGTAAATGCTAAATGCGTATAGGCAGGTAATTAAAATTGTAATCACTATACTTACCCTAATTCCATAATTGGCGTTTTGGCCAATTAAACGGAGAATAAATAAATAGAGGCAAGGGTGAAAAGTATAAAATAACATTTATTTAAAAATAATGGTAACTTTGCTATTTGTGTCCGTTCATAAATAATGTATAATAGTAAATATAATATAGCCTAAATGACTATCAACCTTGACGAAAATGTTAATAATCAAACTGTTATAACAATTCTATCAGTTGACATTTCCGTTGTAGATAAATATTAAGCATAGATATTATAAGAACAAAAGTTAGAAGAAAAACAAAAGAAAAGATACGTATACACGTATATCAATTGTCTAAAAAAAATGAACTGCGAAAAAAACAATTCTTAAGTGGGCTAGTGTTAAAACAAAAAAAATATTTGAACAAAGAATTTAGTTTTTCACAGTTCGGTGTAAATAAAATTATTACTAATATAATATGTATAATGTTGATGGATGAAAGAAACAGAAAAAAATACAATAATTTAAAATAAACAAAAATAAATTACAATATGTTAGAGGTACCTATCAGTCCATGTAAAATGTGTAAAAGTAATGTTCAATTAAACTTGAGCATTCAATCGAATACTTTACAATTTGTTATAATTCGCTATTGAATAAATATTAAAAGATGACTTTGCGGTATTTAGCTAATAATCGATTTTATTATTTATGTCGGATAAAAAACATTAAAAGGCACCTTACACAAAGTAATATGTTACACTTTTTATAAAGACGATGTTGAAATACAGTCGAAATAATATAAAACGATATAAAAGTTAAAAATTGTTGTATTATGGCAAAAGTACTTTTTTATCAAAAGGTGCTCTGTATTATCAGATCCTCTTCGACTAAAGTTTGATTTTGGTTATTCTGTTTTTTTTTCTAGTATCCATTGTCTATTTACAAATAGTAAGGCTTGAACCCTCCGAAATTCTCTGAAACAAAAGAAAAATACAATTGCGTTGGTGGATTTGTAACAAAACAAACACGCTACTTTATGAAATGGACTTTGTCATTTGTTTTTTTGATTCGGTGACAAACGGCAACAGTTTCTCCAGATTTACATAAGAAAACAGGCAACGATTGAAATGCTAATCAACCATTAAATTAAATTTTGAAATTCGACTTCTTTTACGTCAGAAAACGATGAGAAAAAGTAACGATAACAATACAAAACACAACTTAACGTTTGAGTAATTCATTTGTTTTGTTTATTGTCATCTCAAAATGATTACTGGAGCAAATTCCTACATCAGTACGCCAGTTTCCCCTTTTTCCAATAAATAACAATAGAATTACGTAGGCACCTATATTTAACGTCAAACAATCAATTAAGTTAACTAGCAGGGACCTCTCGGAAACTTTGCTAATTAAAATCAGGTCGAAATTTGGAAACAGAGAGAAGACAAGTCCGTCATCATCCCTCTTGAGTCGTTCGCGGTCGCCTTCAAGTTTCCTTTGCGCCCCAGTAACCACCACCATATACCTACTACTACGCAGTACAGTTGCATCGGCAAGATGGGCCCTCCTTTGTTCGGAACTTACTTGCTAATCGCGCCTTGCTTAACAACGATTAAATCAGGGTCTTTGAAATACTTGCGTGTAGACCACGACAGCCCCTTCAAAGCGTCTTATCTGACGTCAGACAGACACCTTTCACCACCCAACTGTATCACTTCCAGGGAGAGATTTGCTGAGTACTACGAATTTGGATATTTTTTTTACTTTAAGAGTAGGTGCAGTTTGATTGTGAAATTTTGGTGTTTGATTAGCCCACCAAAAAATGGCATCCAGTTCAATTTTGGGATGTTATAGTTCGTAATAGTAATATTGTAGCGAGCACGAGCGTGTTTGTGTGCGATCTGGCACATGTGTGCATGAACAACTTATCGATTCGCCGACTAGCCGCTGGCGCCTTTCTTCATGTGCGCCGTAATTGTAAATGGGTGTGTCGTACCTGCGTTCTGGGAAAACAGTTGAACAGTTCAGAGAAAAAAGAAACGATCCGGATGTTTCTAGAGGGTTCCCAAAAGTAAACAAAAGAATATTTAAAGGAAGAAACGATCGCCGAGAAAGGGAGAAATAAATTGACCGTTGCAGAAGTGAATCCAGAAATAAATTGACAGTGACAGCAGTGAAATAAATAGCGCAGTAAATAGTGATATATTAAATAAATAGTTTTGTCGTTATCAGTCTTAGAAGTTAATTTTGTTGAACCCATGAACATTACAATATGTATTAGTTTCGAAGTGCTATAAAGGCGTCTGGTGGACGAAAGGACCTCTTTGCCGAACAAGAACCGGGAAAATTTATTGAGGTATTCCGAGGAACAACAACGGCGAGTCCTCGCTGCTTAATTTAATAACCATTCATAACGTTACCGAAACGACCACCCCTTCCAGTTCAAAGCCTGCGAGAGCATTATTGTCACTGTACGATCTTATGTCACCAACGTACGGACAGACTATACACCGTCCTGCAAGATAATCTATGGGGGTAATATATATGGGAGTCCTTATCGCCTTTGTCTGCTCTTTAATACAAATGGGACTTTTTGTACCATCACACCCACTATAGTTAAACATTATTAAGGATTTTGCTTTAAAATAAATCCTCAAACGTTAAGGCACAAGATTAAAAAGTAAAATCCTTAATATCAAGTCTTTAGATTAATAATGATTTAAGTAATGAATGAGATTGTATTTTTGTATGATAAACCTTGAATATTAATTTGAAATCATTTTTTCGATTTTTTATTTACCCACTACAAACTACCTCTAATTAATGAGGGAAAAATTATTGGTATTGGTCACACCCCCGCCGGGAATCGAACCCGGGACGTTTGGCGTTACGCACCAATGTTCTACCACTAAACTACGAAAGGTGACAACAGCAACAACGACCAACCGACCTACAAGGTTAACGATCCGTCGATTTTTATTCACATAATCGATTAAATATACGAAATCCTATGATATTGTTAGTTACTTAATAGTGGATTAATATGCAATATTAATTTGAAATCATTTTTTCTGTTCTGTTGTTGTCATCTCTCGTAGTTTAGTGGTCAGAACATTGGTGCGTAAAGCCAAAGGTCCCGGGTTCGATTCCCGGCGGGGGTGTTACAACAGCAACAATTTTTCCCTCATTAATTTGGAGGTAGTTTGCAGTGGATAAATAAAAAAATAAAAAAAAATTAAAATAAACTTACGTCCATTAGCTGTTGGTACAAAGCCGTATCCGGAGGCACCAGGAATGACTCCGCTAGTCTCCCCGTTGTCAGGGGGAGCAGGTGGGAATACAACGGGTCCCCTGTCCGCCCGCGAGTCCCTTCCACCGTTGAAATTGGGATCCAAACTCCCATCGAAAACGAAATTCGGTCCAGCGCCAAAAAATTCACCCTTTACTATTGCAAGGACGGCGAAAAGGACTATAGTCAACTGTAAAATGTTTTTCGTGCATATAAATACGTAATTAATTAATTAAATAAATAAAATGTGTTGCCAGGTTTTATTCATACGTTTTCAATAAAAATCTGGAATTTGTAATATTTGTTTCTTATTTTTTCTCGATTCAAATTCGAAATTTCCGTTAGAGTTATTCAAATTTGTGAAAAGTGAAACCGGCTCCTTCCTACCGCTAACGAAGTGATCAATATTCTTTGCCTATATCAAGTTACTAATTAAACATCGACTTCGTTATCGAGACGTTGATGATTTGATTAAAACTGTCTGCATCAAAGGCAAATCAGTTTGGTTAGCAAACATAGCCTGAGACTTGGGAATGCAAAGGGCCAAGTTTGGAGCAAATATATCGTCTTAAGGGGGAAAACTTTTTAAATAAATTCAATCTATCTACAATATAATTAGATATTATTATTATTAATACACTGAAACTTTACAAGAAAACAAAATTACATCGCGCTTTTGTGGTAGGTATATACGCACAATTTTGTTTTACAAAAAGTTCAATGTTGAATTATCTGGAAAACTACCCCATTCGCCGTTTGTTTCGAAATAACATCATCATCATCATAACGTTGTCAGTCCTAAGACTGGTTGGACACGTACCTCCACTTTTTCCTATCCTGAGCTAAACTTCGCATTTCCCTATAATTAGAACAGCCCACATCCTTAACTATTTGCGAACAGTAATCTAATCTAGGTCTACCTCTACCCCTCCTAACTCCTGTTTCTGCCTCTAATATGTCTCTGACTAGACCTTCATGCCTGAGAAGCTGTCCTACCAACCTATCTCGTCTATTTTTTATTGACTTCCATAGAGTCCTCTGTTCTCCTATTCTTTCCAATACCTCTTCATTTCTAACCTTTTCTACCCACGATATCCTCATCATCCGTCTATAACACCACATTTCGAACGCTTCTAACCTTTTCTTTTCCGCCGCGCCCACTGTCCATGTTTCGCACCCGTACAACACCGTGCTCCAAACACACCTTTTATAGGGTAAAAAAATATCGAATAAACCAATAAACCTCTCTATTTAGATTACTATAATCTAGCCGAACAAATTACACGTTGTAAACAAGAAAATGTACACAGATAATACTCTGCATTTTATACTTAATAATTATAAACAATTTCGCCTTTCAAATAAAATTGAAATTAACTATTATAAAATAGCATCTGTTTCGCCTATTTAAATATCACATCTGTGTAGCAGTTACTATTTAGAAGCTTATTCTTATTGAATATTCCTTATAAACACAGTGTGATAACTACGGTAGTATATTATTAAAATCTCAGTATGGTGCCGAAAAGGCATTCCAACATAATACAAGTTATAGCACAACAACGAACGGTTGCAAATAACAATAATTTCATACAAACCTTTCATCAGATCCGATCCGCACATCAGTCTAACATTTACACATCAAATGCGAATGTTAAATTGCTATACTTGTATTAAATTCCATTTTAGAGAAAGAACAAACACATTTAAGAATACTTTACAATTGCATGCTTGTGTTGTTGTTCATTTTCTTTTCTTAAAACATAATATTCATGATATAACTCATATTTACCTTGTCAAATAAGAATTTATATTACAGCAGCTGTATAAAATTCATTCTCATTTTCTTCTACATAATTTGACAAACATTAAACCTCTAGTTTTCGGAACCCCGCTATTTATTTTCTTTTACCTAATGATATATTCATCTCTCAATTATAAAAAAGAAGCACCCTGTATATACAAATGCAGTACAATTTGTCCTTTTTCATGTCCAACCCGCATTCTAAACGCTCGCGTTCATTAGTGAATGCTTTACACACCAAGGTCATGGTAGAAACAGTAGTACTATCAAGTTAAACGGTAGACAAAGTCCTTTGATTTATTTAGATATTTCAACAACTTGCAATTTATTATTACAAAGTCTCGTATGAGTTTTAGACGTTGAAAAAGCAAAATTAATAAGTAACAATTTATCTATTGCGTTATATTTTTTGTTCTCCCTTACCATATACGTAATAATTGTTCAAAAAAAAACTACCTACATATTTAATGATCGCTTATGAGACATACTTGTAGCGTTCGTATGAAGGTTTTTATACTGTCTGAAAAGCTAATTTTCAATTACTTTCAGTATTTCTCTTCAACTCCATACAGACTTGCTCTATTTATTCAGAAATTTTAATAACTACATCTAAAAAAGTTTATTTGAGTAGAGCTATTATAGAAGCCTGATGATGACCCATTCTTTCTTAAAACATTACCCTAATTGTTGCCAACATTATAATCCACTTCGGAATATAACCCAATGGATTTTTAAATATGTAAAAGGTAATAAATATGTAATGGATATCTTAATTGAAAAATAATGAATTCGATTCCTCGGACCTGTACCTGAGGCAGTTACTAAAGCAATTTACGCTGTTACATAAAAAAAAAAGAAAAGTTGTAACTAAGTTAACGAACTGTAACAATTTCGTTTTCAATTAAATTTAAATAAAAAGTGGAGTCGTTCACACTTAACGCGGATTGCCCGAGGTGCAAGTGTAAACGGTATTACTGACTTTAAATGAAAGCTCTAATTCCGATTTGGTAACGAAGACCTTCAAATAAACAAGAAATTAACGTGAAATAAACAATTAAAAGTATTTCGGTAAAAGGCTCTCAAAATAATTTGTTTCCTTGTGGTTGATTACATCACACATACATATATATGTATGTATATAAATCCATATCGGAATTTCGGAATGTAACTGTTTTGAAGAGTCTTTTTTTTCGAATTCTATTGGTAATTTAAATTCGGAACCCTGGAATCATCATCATTATATAATACAGTTTGCTAATCTCTCAGTTAGTTGTAGAAAGTACAGCTGAAAATGCAGTTTTCAGTTAAAGTTGAAAAATGGTAAAATATACGTGAATTTTTTGATGAAATTATACAATTGCAACAAAATTAACGGGTTTAAATGTCAGTAAGCATTCGATATTCGCTCGGTTTGGTATTTTCTAACCTTCAATTATGAATATATAGTACGTACAATAAAAAATGATCATCGTGAACATAATATTTCAAAGGATTCTTTCCATTTTCATTTGATTATGGAACCCTAAAGCAAGCATGAGTTTTGTTTTACCAGACGGCTATTGATCTATCGTGCTATTATAAAATAATACAATGAAAAATTATTAGACCATGTAAGTTATGACACAGGCAGTATCAACAAGTATTTTTGCAATACATGCCCAAGCGCTCAATCTTGTTCTGTTATCTAATACGAATCTAAATCGTGAACTATGAATATTTGTAATAGAGTCAACCCATGGAACTTTAGCTTCTCGTGCTGCCCCTAATACAGTTTTAATCTTTACATATAACAATGCACGTAGATTAAAAATTTCTTTGTCAATAATGGTAACACTGGAGAATGGCAAAGAACAAAATTTCTTACATACGATTAAACATTTTCATCTTATAAGATACTATAAACTAAACCATTATAACAAAAGGAAGTGAAAGATTATGCAGATTGTAATCCTTTTTATAGAAATACTAGTGACCCGCCCCAGCTTCGCACGGGTGCAATGCTGATACTAAATATATTTTTGTTTTGTTTAGATTATTATCGAAAAGAGCAAATCTTCAAAAGATACCCCCTGAACATACTAAATATACTACAGAATGTCTTTATATACAACATTCACAGTTTTTTTGTCATTAGACAACCGCTATGTCCCTGCATTTTATTAATCTGTAATATCTTCGAAAATATTCATTTAAATTACATGTTTTAAAGGGCCATAATGATCTATATTAAATGCACAATGTATTTAAAAGTTAATTGGATAAGAATTAATGCTGTATTGCCTACAATCGCTTCGTAAATAAGTCATTATTTCTCATAAAAAGTAAAGGATAAAAATGGTTATTGTGGGTTATCCCTAAGAGATAGACATATACCATCCCGGACTTTTTTGTAGAACCTTTTAAGATGTACAATATTGTAGTACATTATTTTGATCTATCTCGTAGGGTTCAGCCAGCGTTTGCAATGTAAACGCAAAAATGTGTTTATTTACGACATCACATTAGAAACCTCTAAAATTATCAGTGTTTCCCTACTATATTATGCATGTATTATACATATAAACCTTCCTCTTGAATCACTCTATCTTTTAAAAGAACCGCATCAAAATCCGTTGCGTAGTTTTAAAGATTTAAGCATACATAGGGACAGACAGCGGGAAAGCGACTTTGTTTTATGTTATGTAGTGATTCATTTCTAAGGATAATAAAAGCCTTACAGGATAAGGCAAAGCAAAAGAAGTTGCAAATAGCAGATAAAGAAGTAAAATTCGGTAAATATTAGTGGGCCCGTTCAGCTACCTTGCGGTACTCCTAAAGTCTGAACTAAACCATTATAACAGAAAGAAATGGAAGATTATGCGATTGTTGATAGATAAAGAAGTTTAATAGATGTTCTAATCAATTCAGTGAACATTAGTCGGACCGCTCTGTTACCTTGCAGTACTCCCAAATCTCTTAAATCATTTTGACAATTCAATCGGTCTTTTCTTCGCTATTGTACCACAAAGTGCCACATATTCTTCAGTCAATCGACCAAATATGGTCGTAAATCGTTATCTAAGTAACACGTAACTACACAAGCATTCGTTACACTTGATTTTCTAAATGTTTTCAGTGTCGGCCCCCGCCTATCGCTGCTGCATAATATTCAAGTGACTATAACTGGCAAATGTTGTTGAGTAAGAAAATTCACGCGTTACATGCGTTTTTCACGGTCTATTTGCTTCCCAACATCGTCCATAAGGCATGCTCGTGTGTTTGTAACGTTTTCGCCGTTGTCTGCTGTTAACGTTGGGCATATATAGAGCGATATTCGTTTGATTTTAATAAACGCCGATAACTACAGGCGGAATAGGCAAATTGCATAGGCGTAGGTGGTTAGGTAA